GGTTAGGAGGGAGAATATTCAGTTGGATAAAGGATTTTATGACATATAGAACTATCCAGGTAAGGATAGGAAATGAAATATCGAATCAATGTGTGGTGGAAAATGGTACCCCGCAAGGGAGTGTAATAAGCCCATTAATTTTTTCAATTATGATTAATGATGTTTTCTCTCAGATTAACCAGACATAGGCAGATCTCTTTTTGCTGATGATGGGGCAGTGTGGAAAAGGGGTAGGAACATCATGCATATTAATGGAAAGGTGCAAGAAGCCATCGATAAAGTCGAGCAGTGGGCATATGATTGGGGATTTAAAATTTCAGTAGAGAAAACAAATAGTCTTCACAAGAAAGAGAGCTCTTCCTGATGTTAGCCTGTAGATGTATGGAAAAATATTGGAGAGGGTGAAAACTTTCAGATTGTTGGGAATTCTTTTTGATTCCAAGTTAACATGGGTAGATCACATAAATTAAATTGTTGAGAAATGCCAGAAGGTTTAAAATATCATGAGGTGTTTAAATGGGATGGGATGGGGCGCTAGCTTCTCATCATTAAAAGCCATCTATGTGACAATAATCCGGTCAGTGTTTGATTATGGGAGTGTGGTTTATGGTTCAGCCTCAAAAAGTCTGCTAGAGAGACTGAATAAAATTCAGGCTCAAGCTCTGAGGCAGCGTTGTGTAGCAGTAAGAACAACCCCCATCCCAGCCCTGCAAGTTCTGGGGAAAGAGATGCCATTGGACATTAGGAGAAAGCAGTTAATGACCAACTACTGGGCTAGCCTCAAGGGGCACCAAGAGCAACACCCCACAAAAGTGGTAATGCAGGAGTGTTGGGAACGAGGCAGAGGACAAAAGGCTAGCTTCGGGTGGGCGGGCAATCAGTATGCAGAGGATATGGGGATGGAAAATCTTTACGTGAGCCCAACAGTGGTAACTCCAGAAGCATAACCATGGAAGCTTATTACACCACAAGTAGACTTGTACCTCCTGGACGTCAGGAAGACAGAGAAAGGGAAGATAGACTTGGTGTCAGCTTTCTTAGCTCATGTTAGCCAGCATTGCCCTCAGTACACTCAGATATATACAGATGGGTCTAAAGATCCAGAGCAGCAAACAACAGGGGCTGCTTTCTCTGTTCCATGCAGAAAGGTTCATGTGGTAAAGCGTTCCTCAGATTATTTGGGAGTTTACACTGTAGAGTTGTTGGCTGTGTTTTTGGCACTTAAGTGGATAGAATAAAACAAACCAGGAAATACCCTAATATGCTCTGATTCTGTTTCAGTGCTGAGCAGCCTGACATCCTTCATATCCAGCCGTCAAGATATCCTGTTCCAGATTTTACAAGTACACGCCAGAGTCATACAGCAAGGTATGCGTACTGAATTTATGTGGGTACCGGCACATGCAGGTATAAAAGGGAATGAGGAGGTGGATAAACTGGCTAAACAAGCACTACAAAATGACACCATAAATACACACATTTCGTTAAGTAAATCAGAGATCAAAACAATAATCTGGAATAAGTCAATGGAGGAATGGCAGGGGAGGTGGGACAATGAAACAAGGGGAAGGTTCTTATATAGATTTATCAGTAATATAAAGTCAACAGACAGGAATATAGGAAGGACAAGGACAGAGGAGGTAATATGCAATAGGATTAAATTAGGTCATTCCAATTTAAACACAAAATAGGAGAATAGGAAAACACCCAACTGGTTTATGTGTACACTGTCAGTCAGAGGAATCAATAACACATGCAATCACAGAATGCAACACTTACAGCCAAGAAAGACAGCATATGAAGGAGGAGTTGAGAAAAATTGGAATACATGAAATTAATGTTAAAACTTTGATGAGTCTGCCAAGTGGCCTGAGTACAAGAGTGTTTTTTGAATTCATTAGACGGACAGGTTTACACAATAGAATCTAATCTCTGATTCACACTCCGGAGCAGAAGGTGGCGGTAATACACCTAATACGCTGGTTGCCAACCACCGTTAAAAGACAAGAAGAAGAAGAAGAAGAAGAAGAAGAAGAAGAAGAAGAAGAAGAAGAAGAAGAAGAAGAAGAAGCAGCAGCAGCAGCAGCAGCAGCAGCAGCAGCAGCAAAGCTAGTGGCCACAGGCTGCCGGACTTCACAGCTGATCTCTACAGGATTCAGTCTAAACTCAGATCAGTTTTAATCACCAGCTCTTTGAGACATGAGTTTAAACCCTCAGACTGACAAGCTGCAGATTAAGAAAGTATTCAGGCTTCATTTAGGTTATTTTTCTGCTTCTTAACAGTGTGATCAATTTTTGTCAAAGGGTACAAATCCTAGAAGTCTCAGAACAGTTATTTCTGGTTAAGTTTTTTATTTCACCAACAAGTTTGTCAGTGTGCAGAAATTATTTGTAATTGTCGAAAAACATTGTCATAACTTTGAGTCACCTTGATTCTCATTTCTGATACATGAATTAGCCTCACTGGATTAGTTTAAAGATTAAAAAAAAAAACATAGCTATAGAAAATATAATGACTTGATAATGTCATGAATTTTCGTCGACTAAAACTATGAGGGATAAAATGACTAAAATGTGACTAAAACTACCAAGCATTTTCTTCTCAAGACTAAAGCCCTGTTTACACTGCCAGATTTTCGGCAAATGTTGGGCCATTTAGACTTTGCTATCACGTCAACTTCTTTCATGTTTTGTTGTTGAGAGTACCTGAGGTAAATTGTGTAAACACAATGGCAATGCAGTGCGACAACAAACGGTTCATCCTGACTGACGAGGAGCTATACAATCCCTCAATACCTCAGTATAGCAATAAGCACCAGAGAGCACATGCTTGGAGCTGTGTGAGCAGCCAAGTGAATTTGTCTGGTGAGTACAATGGCATTAAACGTTACTACGACGATAAACATGCTAACATTAGCTAGCTAGGTTAGCTTGACTGGCCGGTTGCGCCAAAGATAATGGATTACTACAAGATGGCCCACCTACAATATACTCCCATTGTGTGAAATGGTATACATTTCCGGTCTCCTAAGTAGGCATTGTCCCCCGTTCCCCAATCAAAGACGATGGAGAACCGTCAACTTAAGATAAGTATCCCCAACCTCGCTTGGTTATCGTAGATTACCTGGGCTAACCGGTAGCTGTTAGCGGTGTCTGTAATAACTCAGTAAGTCAATAAACGGTCCATGAAAAAAAATTTTTTCCAGCGGATATCTTAGTTACAACGTGATTGAGCTAGCAAAGCAGTTTTGTGTTGCTATGTGTGGTATTTATTCAGTTTTGGGAAATCACAATGTCTAGAAAGCATCAGTGGCTGCAGCTGACAGGGACAGCTAACACTAGCAGCAAAGCTAACATCAGGACGTCATCCGTTAAAAGCCTCCCATTGTCGGATACGACATGAAACTACTCCAGTTAGCTCAACCCAGTACAAGATCGTAGGATCAGTCTGATAATATCCATTTTCTCCTCCAAAAACAGTTCAAAACTGCACTGATTTCAGCACCAGAGAGGAGATAGGCTATCTGTTGCCAGATCTCGCGAGAGTGTGTTGTTGAGACAGAGACAAGTCTTGAACAAAGTAAATTTTCTCCTGATTTGTCCGTCTGAAATTTGCCATTTTGGTGTCGGAATGTTCTGAAGATATGTGGCTTGTGATAAATGGGTCCAATATTTGCTTCTGTGACTATGGGGCGAAAGAATCGGCCATAATCTGTAATCACGTTCATTTCTCCCATTGAAGTCAATGGACTTAGGACCTGCTGTTAGTCTCCTAAAGCGGCGTGGTGGTCACGAACACCACATGACACTGATGCAGGAAACTGACTCACAGTGGACCGTCTTGGGTTTATCCACCGCCTTTGGTTGCGCACGCATCCCTCCTCTACAGGCACTCCTAGTAAGGAGCGCTTTTTGAAAGGCCATTTCAGGCATTTCAAGCGTCTTTGAAGCATCCGCGTTTCTAGCGCCACCAGGTGTGATGGCCCCTTAAAAAGAACAAGGCACCCTTCCGCAACGGGAGGGGCTGTTGAAGACTTGTGGGAGGAGCTGTTGATGACGCCTCATGTGCGACCCACTGGCGGTGGATAAACAGGAAACAGCTGATAGCAGGAATTAGGGAGCAGCTAGTAGCAAGAGGGACCCCAAACCTGACAGACACTGTAAAGGTGAGCAGCTGGGGAGACAAGGAATTGCGTGCCCTCCTTGTCCTCACAAACAAAGAGGCCATTAACCGTCAGATGACGGGGACGGTGAAGAACGGGCCGACTTACGAGAGAATCGCCGAAGGACTGACCAGCCGCGGCTTCTGTTTACGTCACACGCTGAGCTACACGTTTTGTTACTTGCTCACGCCCCCCATTGCCCCGAAAAAGGCACATTCTGTATAAACAAAAGCTTGCTGCACTCCCCGATTTTGCTTTTATATTGCGAATGGTGAAAGAAGACTGACTGGGCTTTCCTGCAAATTTGCACAATTCCTGTTTAAAAAGGGTTTTTAAAGACTAAAATGGCTGTCAAAATCATCACTGCACTAAATGTCCCCGAATCTTAAAAACTGCTCCTTTAAATGGGAGCAGAATAACACACACCTAAAAACATCTCACCTGTAGAATATCTTGGTCCAAAACAAAATATATTAAGAGACAGACTAAAATAGATTGGGTCTAAAAAATGAAGAGAGCTTGGAAACTGCAGTAATTCATAGGGAAAAAATGTACATTAAATTTTATTTAAGCTACATTTTTATATAGTCTATTGGTCGGCCATTCGATGAACTACAGTTTCGGCTTTGCCACCAAGTCATGTTTGTGTCTGATAACGATACATTTTGTAGATTAGAATCCGGTTGTAACATTGTATCCTCATGAAAAGTGATTCAGTGTAGCGTTGACAGGGGAGATACGGGAGATACCCCTGCTGTGTAGCCTACATGAATGAGCTACCTTGACAGTGTGAATGAAGCTTCATGTTAGCAAGAGCCGGTAGGTGAGGCTTGTTACCTGTAACAATGGCCGTCTTCCCATTCAGCCTCACTAAACTGGAACACCTGGCTCCTCTAAACACAGCGTAATACACTATCACATAGAAGAAAAGTGCACCAGCTACGAGGCAAAGCAGTGCCGACATCACTGCACTGTATGAGCGGAGCGGGTAGTGTCAACAAGACTTTCAAAATAAAATGTTTGTGGCCGAACAAAGCGTGTTATACTGTTTGTTAAGCATCAAAGAACGAAAACTACAATTGAAATTAATGCAAAACATGGCACTTTTGACAAAAATGGCAAATAGATACTATATGAGTATTAATTTTATTTTCACAAATACCATAAGAATTTACTTTGGAGGAAAATCGAACGCCAACAGTTTAACTTCCGATCGGGCTTCCTGGTGTAGCGTTACTGAACCGCCAGATGTCGCCATATATGCACTCAAAGGAACATGTATATTGTCAAAGAGAAAGGACAATTCAGGACGTTTTTAATATGGTATACTCCAGTTTGTACTGCACCTAATACAGCTGCAATGAAATAGGCTATTAATAAATAATAACAATAATTAAATAATATTGATAATTGAAAAGGTCTGCTTCCGTCATAGGTTGACCGGTAGGCTAAAATGACTTTACCTTAAACACACAGAAGCTTCAGTTTATCGATAGCCTACATGACCGAAAATGTGCCTTGAATGTGTTAATGTTATCTCAGTGCACATATTCAAATTCATAAGAGGGCCCCATTTGTTGTACTGTAAAAGTGACAAGAGAAGGTGGGGTCATACCTCAAACCCTGCAAAAGCAATAGGACAATAATTAGAGTAGGCTATTAACAGTTGTGAATGTGGTTAATTACTAGGGTGAGGTCAGGCAATGTGGGACATCAATCAAGTGGAATAAGTTAGCTTTTAAACGTTTGGCTGTTAAAATATTGGCAGCCAATCACCAAATGTATTAGGCTATTGCATTGTTGCAACAAATCCTTTACATGAAACAATCATTTTAATTAGTCTGACATTACTAGGACGGGCAGAAAAAAGATCCCAAAACTTGCAAGTTGTTTTATTGGACAATATGGCACGAAGGAAACAGATAGCAAAAGTGCAGGGAAAGCATTCAGCAGAAAGGTTTGACAATCTTTTTTAATGAATAGTTTGGTTACACTGATGACTTCTTGACTATTTGAGTATAGGCTAGCAGTTTTGTATGTATGGAGTAGTGTGTATTTGTACGGTAAACATGAGAAAAGCACAAGTGTGTATTGAATGTGTGCGCTGTATTAGGATGATACTTATTCAATCTGCAAATGACCAAAAGCATTTACAGTATTCCAGAAGGTCAGAACTTTACACAACAACTTGAACAAAGAGGAGATTTTCTGGGATATTTGATTACATTAATTATCTGGCTAAAACTGTGTGCAACTTAAACTGTAAACACTACATTGTATATAACATGACATTACAAACACTGCACTCCACTGATAAAAGTTGCTAAATCATGGTGACACAACCAACAGGTCTGACTGGTGTTTTATGTTATTACAGGAGGAGTGCTGTGGCATGCAGTGAAAGGAGGGTGTGCCCTGACCTGAACCCATTCACACAGGGAGAGTTTATCTGGATGTCGGTTATTTGGATTTTACATTTAATTCAACTTCAATTCTGATTGAGTTCCAGGCTTAATAGAATATGTTTTATACTGAGCAGAAACTTTGATCAAGGACCAAACCTTTCCCTTAATCTAAGTGATACTTGTTAGTCTTGAGAAAAGCTTTTTACAAAACAATCAATCAGCTGCAACACAATCACTCACTAACACTGATTTGTCCCACAGCTAAAGAAGTATCACTGAGAGGTTCATTTAGAGAGACTGCTGTGCAGGGTGATCTGACCCGCCGGAACAGGACTCCCACAGAAAAGCATTCTGATGACCTTGATAAATAACATACCAGCTGCTTTATGAATCTTAAGCAATCACATGTCAGCAAGGTGTGGACAGTTTCACCATGCACTGTTTAATGGAAGGGTTTTTCATCAGGTTGTTAAACAGATTTTGTTACACAATTCAAATGTGAGACTAGTTGTGAGCCCTGCGATAGTCTGGCGACCTGTCCAGGGTGTACCCCACCTCTCGCCCAATGTCAGCTGGGATAGGCTCCAGCCCCCCCGCGACCCTCAAGAGGATAAGCGCTTAGAAAATGGATGGATGAATGGACTAGTTGTGAATTAGACAAACTGATATGTGTTGCTGTAAACCCCAATTCGCTCACTCAGCTTAAATTGTTTTGGGGGAAAAATCTTGCACTCAAAACTTTAGTTTAGTACAGTACAGTAACATAAACATTTTGAGTATACCAGATACAACATAAATGTGTCACATGTCCCTTGTCTAACAGGAATTTTATGCCAGTTTAACATAACTTTTTTGTTGTTTGAACTATAAACATATATTGTGACAAGCTTAGCTTTCTCAATTGCAAGAATAAAGCAAAGAGATGAATTCTGATCCCAGAAGTGCATTTGTGAAGACTTTACATTAAAATTTTGTGTCATGGATTGATTGGGGTTTATAGTAGCAGGTACTTATCTGCATCACACTGAACTGAAAAGGTAATGCTTGCATAACAATCTCCAAACAACTACCATATAAGCAGCCATGCCAGCAGTAACATGACATATGATGGCTGTGATGTGTGATTTTTTATTTATTTATTTTTTTTGTCAGTCAGCCAAGAGAGGAGGAGGAAGACGACTTTAGCCAGTTTTCTGTTAAGCTTTTTCTTGTGTTTCAGTGTGGCTGCATGACTTTAAAAAAAAACACTATGTAGTAAACTGAAGTTATTTTCCTATGTAAACAGCGTTGTCAGCTGGACCCACCTGGATGGAGGCGTTGCATTAGAATGTGCTGATAACAGCTGATAGCAGTGATCATGGGTAAGTTTGACTTAGGTTTGCCAGTTAGTGTGCACTGTCAACAGTAGGCCTACTGCCAGCTTCTGTGTTTGCAATTAAGCATAACAAACCACCAGCCATTAGCTGCAGCAGTTTTTTCATTGCATAAGCTCTGTTTGAAAAGACTCCTTTCAAAAGGAAAAATAAAGGCAGTTACAGCTACATGTCAGTACAGTTCCCTTTTTGTTTCGACATTTTTATACTGCTGTGAGTTTAGCTCCAGGGTTGTTCATGTTACATCATTATCATGTGCTGCCATGGAATTATGTCACAGGCCAATGACCTTTTACTGCCCCAGTGATGTTGAACCAGTAACCTGCTCTGTGCCCCATATCATTTTCACTATAGTAACCCCAAATGACTCCTGCCAACTCCCACTTTCTATCAACTATGTAATAAATAAAAGAAATACCTATGAACCAGTATTAATTATATGTTCAAGATATGATAAACATATTAAACATAACAAAAACATTAAAGGAAACATGTAAAGTCTATATCTTCATTAAGACCAGGATATTTTAACGCATCCAACTGATGAATCCAAAAAGCTTCCTTTTGGTTAAGTCTCTGTATTCTGTCACCAGAGTTATGTCCCTGTTGATAACTTGATTTAAATTATTCTCATTTATCAAATACTCATGGGCATAGACGCATACAGTAAACACGTGAGAACAGAAATCTGGAGCAGATGTGATGAGTATGTGGCTCTGCAGGTCTTGCTTTGCACTGCAAACAGTTAAATGTGTGTCATCACCTGAGTGAAGACACTTTACATTTGATCTATGGAACAATGCTTGATTCATCAAAGCGAAAACAGTATAACTCATCTCTTATGATTACAGTGATACTTGTGAGATTAATTTCTTTATGTACTCATTTGTTAATTCATAAACATCCGGGCTTGCTCTCAGTATGTCAAGAATTTCTGATGGGGCCCACTTGTACATGTCAGTATGAATGGATTAAACAAAGACCAAACCCAGAGAGATTTGCACATGCTTAGGACCAGAGTAAAGACCCAAGCTTCTGGTTTTATTCAGGAAGAACATACGGTTCTCTACTTGATAATCTGATGATCTATTAAAGCACCTGAAAACTTGGTTTCTTGACTATATTTGTGTAACACTAATTGTACTGTCTAAATAATCAACAGTCAATGTTCATCAGTGATAAGTAACTGTTGATTAAAACTCAAAAACCTGCTTCACTGAGGTGGGTGTGGTTTGAGATGATTCACTGGACTATCTGTCATCACATTCTTTGGCTTATATTGTTAAATTCAGATTAGTGTAACACGTACCTGTCATCACCTTATTCTAACACACCTTTGCTGACTCTAAACCAATGAAACCAGAGACCTTTCATGTCGAATATGGTTAGAGTATAAGGTATTAGTGTGTTCATGTAGGAACCCATCATCTAAAAGAATAAAATGCTTTTATAAGGTCAGCAAAAAATCTCATGGAGTAAAAGTAACTTGTTTATTTATATTGGGCATTGGTAACTGAAATAAATGCAGTCAAAAATCTGTGGATATATTACATTTTAACAAGCTGTTACACATAATCTGTGATTACTTTAGCTGTGAGTACATATCTTCTGCATACAACATGGAAAATAATCACCAACATGAATACATCAGGAGTGCTGTAAAAGTTATTGAGTCATGGCAACTAGTCTGTATAGTCAGACTGGCTCTATTCTTATTTAAGCCCTTGGCAGTGAATGGCGTGCCAGACCTTTACCTTACATTACTATATCTTGCCTGTCAGCTAAATTTTTCCTGTTAGGTATCAGGTACTTTGAAGGATATCCTCCCATGATTAATATCCAACGGAAATTTTGACAGCCCAATATGAGGAATCTGATGGTAAGCTTTTTATGCGAGACCACACAGTCTCTCACTGAGCTCCCACAGCTTCTTTGCCATAGCATCATCCTTAGCTTTAGGATAGACTTCTCTCACAGTGCAGTTGGAGAAGTAACGCCCGTTGAGATGTTCGATCCCCTCCTGGACAGCACAGTGCAGGGTGGTCTGGGATCCCTGGATGGTGTTTTTTAAGAAAAACGCAGTCAGGGGTGTCAGGACCAATTGCACTACAGAGTTAGTGTTCCTTGCCAGCTCAGAGTTGATAGCTCCTGCAAAAGCATAAAATAATGTAGTGTGAGTTGCCCAGTCTTTAGCCGCTATGTACCAAATCCGCTGCGTCAAAAACATACATAAAAGAAGGCTTAATATTTGGTCAAATGTTCCTTTGGCATTTTCACCTCAGTTAGTTGATGACCACCCACAAGTTTCTGGTTGAATCTTTGACCAATTGCCTTCGGTGCAGTTCAACTAAACTCGTTGGCTCTCTGGCACGGATGTTTTTCAGCACAGTTCACAAGTTCTCATTGAGGTTTAAAAAACTATAGTGCGTAACTTCTACAGGTTCGTAAATGTCCGTTTCACCCAAGCCACTACTAGAGGAGATGACACAGTGCTGATTAAGCCAATCGGCTCCTCTAACATCTCGCGGTATTTTTCAATATATATCATTTATTAGTTTGCGTGTCGACCAGCGACATTCCCGCACTAGCGCACAGGAAATGCTTCCTCACAACAAGAAGGGAGGGGGAGGAAGAGCGGAGAGTGTCATAGCAAGAGGTAGAGCGCAGGTAGAAAGAGAAAGCAACATGGAGGAGAAGAAGTGGATCCTACCACAAAGAAAAAGCCTGGACGTTCGGCTGAAGGTCTATTAGCAAAGAAGGAAAGTGAGTGACGGAGAAGGCAAACAAGGATTTGTATTGGCGTCGCTTTTCCTCGCTGGGGAGTCCTGAAGGAAGAAATTGGACTCAGGGCAGACACGGATGTTGCCTTGCTGCTGTTGGATAAGTAAGTGGCTTGGTTTATAATTACATTATGAGTAGTATGAGTTGCTGTTACATGTACTGGACCTAGTACTTTATTACTCTAAACAAAAATATAAACACAACACTTTTGTTTTTGCTCCCATTTTTCATGAGCTGAACTCAAAGATCTAAAACATTTTCTATACACACAAAAGACCATTTCTCACAAATATTGTTCACAAATCTGTCTAAATCTGTGTTAGTGAGCACTTCTCCTTTGCCGAGATAATCCATCCCACCTCACAGGTGTGGCATATCAAGATGCTGATTAGACAGCATGATTATTGCACAGGTGTGCCTTAGGCTGGCCACAATAAAAGGCCACTCTGAAATGTGCAGTTTTGCTTTATTGGGGGGGTCTGTGGGGTCAGAAAACCAGTCAGTATCTGGTGTGACCACCATTTGCCTCACGCAGTGCAACACATCTGCTTCACATAGAGTTGATCAGGTTGTTGATTGTGGCCTGTGGAAAGTTGGTCCACTCCTCTTCAATGGCTGTGCGAAGTTGCTGGATATTGACAGGAACTGGAACACGCTGTCGTATACGCTGATCCAGAGCATCCCAAACATGCTCAATGGGTGACATGTCCGGTGAGTATGCTGGCCTTGCAAGAACTGGGATGTTTTCAGCTTCCAGGAATTGTGTACAGATCCTTGCAACATAGGGCCGTGCATTATCATGCTGCAACATGAGGTGATGGTCGTGGATGAATGGCACAACAATGGACCTCAGGATCTCGTCACGGTATCTCTGTGCATTCAAAATGCCATCAATAAAATGCACCTGTGTTCGCTGTCCATAACATACACCTGCCCATACCATAACCCCACCACCACCATGGGCCACTCGATCCACAACGTTGACATCAGCAAACCGCTCACCCACACAATGCCACACACGCTGTCTGCCATTTGCCCTGAACAATGAAAACCAGGATTCATCCGTGAAGAGAACACCTCTCCAACGTGCCAGACGCCATCGAATGTGAGCATTTGCCCACTCAAGTCGGTTACGACGACAAACTGCAGTCAGGTCGAGACCTCGATTAGGATGACGAGCTTGCAGATGAGCTTCCCTGAGATGGTTTCTGACAGTTTGTGCAGAAATTCTTTGGTTATGCAAGCCGATTGTTGCAGCAGCTGTCCGGGTGGCTGGTCTCAGACGATCTTGGAGGTGAACATGCTGGATGTGGAGGTCCTGGGCTGGTGTGGTTACACGTGGTCTGCAGTTGTGAGGCCGGTTGGATGCACTGCCAAACTGTCTGAAATGCCTTTGAAGATGGCTTATGGTAGAGAAATGAACATTCAATTCTCGGGCAACAGCTCTGGTGGACATTCCTGCAGTCAGCATGCCAATTGCACGCTCCCTCAAAACTTGCGACATCTGTTGCATTGTGCTGTGTGATAAAACTGAACATTTTAGAGTGGCCTTTTATTGTGGCCAGCCTAAGGCACACCTGTGCAATAATCATGCTGTCTAATCAGCATCTTGATATGCCACACCTGTGAGGTGGGATGGATTATCTCGGCAAAATATTGTGAACAATATTTGTGAAAAATGGTCTTTTGTGTATATAGAAAATGTTTTGGATCTTTGAGTTCAGCTCATGAAAAATGGGAGCAAAAACAAAAGTGTTGCGTTTATATTTTTGTTCAGTGTATTTTCTTGGAAATGGTGCTATGAACGTAATGTAATGTTTGCAGCCTGGTGTTCGCCACCTTGTGTAGCATTGTGTACACGGTGTGAAGCGAGTGTTACTCTGTGTACACGGTGTGTGGCGAGTGTTACTCTGTGTACTTGGTGTGTGGCGAGTGTTACTTTGTGTACATGGTGTGTGGCGAGTGTTACTCTGTGTACGGTGTGTGGCGACTGGCTAGTGTTACTCTGTGTACACGGTGTGTGGCGACTGGCGAGTGTTACTCTGTGTACACGGTGTGTGGCGAGTGTTATTCTGTGTACACGGTGTGTGGCGACTGGTGAGTGTTACTCTGTGTACATGGAAGTGCCGCCGGCTTATTAGTTGTAATAACGCATTATCCGCTGGGAGGCAACAGAAGTTACGCACTATAGCTTTAAAGTAAGGACCTTAGGAAAGCTGTTCCAAAACCTTAATTCTAGCCTGATATCACTTTTAATGTGTGTTTGGGGTAACTGTACTGTTGGAACACAGCTGTGTTCAAGACAGAACCTTCTTTCTAATGATTGTAGGTTTTCCTGAAGTGAATGTTTATACATATATATGTATATGTATGTGTATATATATATATATATATATATATATGTGTGTGTGTGTGTGTGTGTGTATGTATGATAACACTGCTCAAAAAAATAAAGGGAACACACAATCATCAGTGTAACTCAAAGTCAGTCAAACTCCTGGAATATCAACCCGTCGAAGCAAAACTGATTGTGAATCAGTTTCACCTGCTGTTGTGCAAATTGGACAGACAACAGGTGGAAAGGAGAGGCAATTACCAAGACAATCACTATTCAGGAATGGTTTTGCAGGTGGTGGCCACAGACCATTTCCCTCTCTGCATCCTTTCTCGTTGATTCTTGGCTAGTTTTGCATTTTTCCAGTGCCCACACCACTAGTGGTATCATGAGGCAGTAACTGCAGCCCACAGAAGTTGCTCAGGTAATGCAGCTACTCCAGGATGGCACATCCATATGCACAGTGGCCAGAAGGTTTGTGTCTCCCAGCACAGTGTCAAGAGCATAGAGGAGATACTAGGAGACAGGCCAGTACACCAGGAGAGGTGAAGGGGCCATAGGAGGGCAACAACCCAGCAGCAGGATCGCTAACTGCTTCTTTGTGCAAAGAGGAACAGGAGAAGCACTGCCAGAGCCCTCCAAAATGACCTCCTGCAGGCTACTGGTGTGCATGTTTCTGCCCAAACTGTCAGAAACAGACTCCATGACGGTGGCGTGAGGGCCACAAGGGGGGCCTATGCTCACACACCAGCACCGTGCAGAGAACACCAAAATTGGCAAATTCGCTACTGGTGCCCTGTTCTCTTCACAGATGAGAGCAGGTTCACACTGAGCACATGTGATAGACATGACAGAGTCTGAAGAACATTCTGCTGCCTGCAACATTCTCCAGCATGACCGGTTTGGTGGTGGGTCAGTGATGGTCTGAGGAGGCACATCCCTGGAGGGCCGCACAGACCTCCACATGCTAGCCAGAGGTACCCTGACTGCTGTTAGGTACGGGGATGAGATCCCCAGACCCATTGTCAGACCTTACGCTGGTGCAGTGGGCCCTGGGTTCCTTCTGATTCATGACAATGCCCAGCCTCATGTGGCTGGAGTGTGTCAGCAGTTCCTGGATGATGAAGGCATTGATGCTACTGACCTGAATCCAATCAAGCACCTTTGGGACATGATGCATCGTAGCATCCACCGCCACCACATCACACCACAGACTGTCCAGGAGCTGACTGATGCCCTAATCTAGGTCTGGGAGGAGATCCCCCAGGAGACCATCCGTCGTCTCATCAGGAGCATGCCCAGACATTGTAAGTAAGTAAGTAAATTTATTTATATAGCACTTCTCACAGAGAGGACTCACAAAGTGCTTCACAAGATAAAATACAAAAAATACAATAACAGAAACAATGCAAAATACACAAAAACAAATAAAAAGTAAAGTGCAGCGAAATACAGAGATGATACAATGGACAATTAATGGAACGCAAGCCTAAACAGATGTGTTTTTAACTGCTTTTTAAAAATGTCCACAGAAGAGGCCGCTCTCAGCTCATGAGGTAGTGCATTCCACCATTTCGGTGCAACAGCCTTAAAGGCTCTATCACCTTTCGTCTTTAATCTTGTGTGAGGGACAGTAAGTAGGTGGCCTTCAGCGGACCGCAGTGACCTGACAGGACAGTGAAAGGACACCAGATCCGAGGGAATGCATACAGGCACATAGAGGCCATACACACTACTGAGCCACATTATGAGTTGTCCTGAGGAAATTCACAGAAGTTGGATCAGCCAATGATCTGATTTTTCCATGTTGATTTTGGGTATGATTCTGAATCCAGTCCTAAATGAGTTAATGATTTTGGTTTCCATGGATTGTTCTTACATTATTTTGCTCTCAACGAATTACACTATAGCCCCTTTTCCACCAATATTTCCAGGAACTTTTATTACCAGGAATTTGTTTACCTAGGTAAAAGAATTCCTGGTAATCTGTGTGGTTTGCATTTCCACCACACCTCAAAGTTCCAGATAATTTATTCAAATTAGCGTGATGATGTAGCTGATTCGGCATGTGCCCTGTATTTGGTTCCGCCAGCTTGGCTGGTTACATGCTGGTGTAGAGAGTTGGGGCTGTTTGTCTCAGCCAGCAGCTAAGTTTAAAAGTATTTTAAGATAAATGTCAAACTAAGTTAGTCTACATACAGACAGCTGTCATTTCAGCTTATTAGTAACAATTTGCTATCAGCCGAACTAGCGTGCTGTCCTTGTGGAAGACATAACGTTAGTAACGGTGGATGAGAGACTGTGGATGGAGCATATTGAATATCGCTGTCTACATGTTTACATGTTCTGAACACATGTATTGAAAAAGTATCGGCTTCTTACTCTCTAAGGTTTAATGTCACTTACAGTAATGAGTCTAGCGGTGGTCAACTTGAGTCATTTTTGAGTTATCTTAACTTTGTTTCCACCGCAGCCTCTCGGCGGCTGGTACCCATCCTTAATCAAAACACAAATGAAGTGAAGCCTGTAGAGATGACAAAAAAGTTTTCAGCAGCTGCCTGTAAAGGGAGTGCGGAATGCTGCAAGTGTGTGCTCCATCGATCAGTGTTCTCCGGCAAACAGCCCCGCCCCTCAAGAATTCCAGGTAATCTGAAAAGTCCTACCCCCCTACTAGGTACTTTCTCCGGGGTAAATTTTGGGGTGAGGGAAAGTTTTTTACCCAGGTAATTTTGGTGGAAACGCAAGGTGGTTTTTCAAAATTCCGGGTAATTGATAAAAGTTCCTGCGGTGGAAAAGGGGCTTATATATCAATGAAGATTTTCATCTGGAATATTTCATTCATCGAGATCTGGGATGTGTGATTTAAGTGTTCCCTTTATTTTTTTGAGCAGTGTGTGTATATATATATATATATGTGTGTATATATATATATATACAGTACAGGCCAAAAGTTTGGACACACCTTCTCATTCAATGCGTTTTCTTTATTTTCATGACCATTTACATTGTAGATTCTCACTGAAGGCATCAAAACTATGAATGAACACATGTGGAGTTATGTACTTAACAAAAAAAGGTGAAATAACTGAAAACATGTTTTATATTCTAGTTTCTTCAAAATAGCCACCCTTTGCTCTGATTACTGCTTTGCACACTCTTGGCATTCTCTCCATGAGCTTCAAGAGGTAGTCACCTGAAATGGTTTCCACTTCACAGGTGTGCCTTATCAGGGTTAATTAGTGGAATTTCTTGCTTTATCAATGGGGTTGGGACCATCAGTTGTGTTGTGCAGAAGTCAGGTTAATACACAGCCGACAGCCCTATTGGACAACTGTTAAAATTCATATTATGGCAAGAACCAATCAGCTAACTAAAGAAAAACGAGTGGCCATCATTACTTTAAGAAATGAAGGTCAGTCAGTCCGGAAAATTGCAAAAACTTTAAATGTGTCCCCAAGTGGAGTCGCAAAAACCATCAAGCGCTACAACGAAACTGGCACACATGAGGACCGACCCAGGAAAGGAAGACCAAGAGTCACCTCTGCTTCTGAGGATAAGTTCATCCGAGTCACCAGCCTCAGAAATCGCAAGTTAACAGCAGCTCAGATCAGAGACCAGATGAATGCCACACAGAGTTCTAGCAGCAGACCCATCTCTAGAACAACTGTTAAGAGGAGACTGCGCCAATCAGGCCTTCATGGTCAAATAGCTGCTAGGAAACCACTGCTAAGGAGAGGCAACAAGCAGAAGAGATTTGTTTGGGCCAAGAAACACAAGGAATGGACATTAGACCAGTGGAAATCTGTGCTTTGGTCTGATGAGTCCAAATTTGAGATCTTTGGTTCCAACCGCCGTGTCTTTGTGAGACGCAGAAAAGGTGAACGGATGGATTCCACATGCCTGGTTCCCACTGTGAAGCATGGAGGAGGAGGTGTGATGGTGTGGGGGTGTTTTGCTGGTGACACTGTTGGGGATTTATTCAAAATTGAAGGCACACTGAACCAGCATGGCTACCACAGCATCCTGCAGCGACATGCCATCCCATCCGGTTTGCGTTTAGTTGGACGATCATTTATTTTTCAACAGGACAATGACCCCAAACACACCTCCAGGCTGTGTAAGGGCTATTTGACCAAGAAGGAGAGTGATGGAGTGCTGCGGCAGATGACCTGGCCTCCACAGTCACCGGACCTGAACCCAATCGAGATGGTTTGGGGTGAGCTGGACCGCAGAGTGAAGGCAAAGGGGCCAACAAGTGCTAAACACCTCTGGGAACTCCTTCAAGACTGTTGGAAAACCATTTCAGGTGACTACCTCTTGAAGCTCATCGAGAGAATGCCAAGAGTGTGCAAAGCAGTAATCAGAGCAAAGGGTGGCTATTTTGAAGAAACTAGAATATAAAACATGTTTTCAGTTATTTCACCTTTTTTTGTTAAGTACATAACTCCACATGTGTTCATTCATAGTTCTGATGCCTTCAGTGAGAATCTACAATGTAAATAATCATGAAAATAAAGAAAACACATTGAATGAGAAGGTGTGTCCAAACTTTTGGCCTGTACTGTATATATATGTGTGTGTGTGTGTACACACAAACATACACCAATCAGGCAAAACATTATAACACTCACCACCCAACCAAACAATGAAATGGCACTCTGTGCCTTGCCACAATGCAAAAACTGTTCAGGAATGGCCTGAGGAGACAAAACAGACAAAAAGCTCAAGGTGACAACCTGGCCACCAAATTAGCTAGATCCCAACCCAATCGAGCATCTGGAGGATGTGTCAGTACCCCACCTTGCAACCTGCAGGACTCAAAGATACACTGCCAATGCCCTGGTGCCAGGCACAAGAGGGCACCACCAGAGTTCCTGTGTCCATCTCTCAACAGGTCAGAGCCAAGTCCAATCCAAGGAGGCCCCACCATAGATCAGGGGTACCTCTGAAGTACCAGCATGTCCCATGAATGCTCGAACGCTCAAATTTGGATCTGGTGAAATCGGAGGTCAGACGCCGGGAGCTGGAAGGACAAGCCCCTGCACAGCATGTACCTCCGGCAGATTGAAGAAGTGGCCCACACCAAGTAGTCCTACCAGTGGCTGGAAAAGGCTGGACTGACAGCCAGCACAGAAGCACTGATCATGGCAACACAGGAACAGGCACTTAGTACAAGATCAATAGAAGCAGGGGTCTACCCCACCAGTCAGGACCCCAGGTGCAGGCTTTGCAAAAATGCTCCTGAGACAGTTCATCACATAATAGCAGGGTGTAAGATGCAGGCAGAAAAAAGAGTGTACATGGAATACCATAACCAAGTGGCTGGCATAGTGTACAGGAACATCTGCACTGAGTATGTGCTGAAAGTCCCAAGGTTACAGTGGAAGACACCTCCTAAGGTGGTTGAGAATGACCAAACTATGATGAGGGGGATTTTTTTTTTTTTTTTTTTTTTTTTGTGTGTGTGTGTGGGTGTGTGTGTGCGTTGTATATATAAATTATTATATTACTATATACTACTATATTATTACTATAATTTATTACCCATTCTTGTGCATGAATATAATGGTGACATACTCTGACTACTGACCTGGATGGAGGGAGTAACAGGTGACCTTGGTTCCCTGCAGTCTTTTGGCCAGCTCATGTGTGAAGAGGACGTTGCACAGCTTGCTATCGGAGTAGACCTGAAAGATCTCCATGACTGAGGTCCCCAGTCCCAGAGCTTTGTTGGTGTTCAGGCACTCAAAATCAATTTTTCCAAAGCAATGTGCCACGGATGACACGTTGACCACCCTGCTCGGTTCACACTCCTTCAGACGATCCAGTAACAGGTTGGTTAACAGGAAATGACCAACGTGATTGACACCAAACATCATCCCCAGTCCGTCCTCTGTTCGACCCTGTAGGTAAATACCTGAAACAAAAACACGGAGAAAGCTTAATCCTGTTTCCAGACATGGTACCATCAAAACAAGCAAGCCTTTAAACTATCTAATATCTGTGGAAGAGTATGATGATTCCTTGAATATAAAGACATGCTAAAGTCAAAAGAAAAGTCAACATTGATTGCTTGATTCTAGAGAACTTGCATGTCTTACATATCTTTATCTATGTTATGTACTTTTTGAGCTGACTCTGACCCATTTCTGTCCGGAAGGGTAGACAAGATGTCAACTACAAACACCAAAATGCATTTTGGTAAGACACAGACAGCTAAAAAAAATGGTCAGTTTGTGTAACGGTGGGGTAAAGTTAGAGCAGAGCATGGTAGTATTCCTCGGATCAATGCAGCAACTTGAATGAATTAATTTCAGATTTCAGATTAAAATTTAAACCACTCAGCAAGTGCTTAACTGACTGCACTGACTGACTGAATGTATTGTGAACATGCTAGAACTTCAATCAAATTTCTTAAAAAACTTGAACTACCACCTTGTAGCTGTATGCCTCCACGCAGCAGTTTCTCTTACTGGTTCTCTTTCTCTAAGTTTCTCTTACAGTGCTTTACAAACATTTTCCCCTGGCAGCACAGAAGATCTATACAATTAGCACTGTTTCAGATGGAAACCAAGATTAGTGTCACCAGTTCATTATCTGACCAAATGTCTCCCCTTCTGTTCCTGAGATATGACGTGGAGTAATGGCCAAAACAGTGTTTTGGTTGACATTTTGGATATAAAACTCACCAGCTCAGTGGCCTAGTGGTAGAGTGTCTGCCCTGAGACTGGGAGGTCGTTGGTTCAATCCACGGCTGGGTCACACCAAAGACTATAAAAATGGGACCCATTGCCTCCCTGCTTGGCACTCAGCATCAGGGGTTGGAATTGAGGGGGTTAGATCACCACATGATTCCCGAGCGCGGCACCGCTGCTGCTCACCGCTCCCTCAGGGGATGGGTCAAATGCGGAGAACAAATTTCATACACTCAGGTGTATGACAATCAGTGGAACTTTAATCTTTAATCACTCCATTACATGCTACCAGACATTTGTGTTAAGTTTTGTCATAATTAGCATATGACTGCTTGAGTTATGGCCAAAAACATATTTTGTGAGATTACACTAGCTTTGACCTTTGACCTTCAACCATCGAATTCCAATCGGTTTATTGTTCAGTCCAAGTCAATGTGTGTGCCAAATTTTGATGAAATTCACTGAAGGTATTTTTGAGATATCACTTTCACAAGAATGACACGGATTCAAAGTCTCAGTGACCTTTGAGCTTTGACCACCATAATCTAATCAGTTCATTGTTGAGTCCAAGTGAATGTTTCTGCCAAATCTGAAGAAAAAAAAATCCCTCAAGGTGTTCTTGAGATATGACGTTCAGAAGACTGAGACAGACAAGGTCAAAGTGACCTAGATCTTTGATCTATGACAACCAAATTCTAATCAATTCATTGGTAAGTCCAAGGGGATGTTTGTGCCAAATTTGAAGAAATCCCCTCAAGGCGGTCTTGAGACATTGAGTTCACAAGAATGGGACAGAGGGATGGCTACAGCTAACCCCCCCAAAAATAACACATAACACTGTTTTTTCTTATTTGTGATACGTCTCTGTGCTCGCTGTACAGCTTGATTAATTTTCTAATTTCAGTGTCGGTAAAATTTTCATTGATCCTTCAGGTTTTCTTCAAATCTTAAACTGTAAATAAACTGTCAACACAGATGAGAGGGGCTGTCAACTGTCAATTGTCATCTGTCAAGCACACGGGGTGATTCAGCGACGCGTCATTTAACGTCACCGCGCTCCTCTAGGCAGGCCGCGAGGGGCATTCCGGGGGCATTCACATGGATGCGCACAGCTAAAATCATCTTAGCTAAGACTAGGCTTAAGTCCTGTTGGTGCAACCGGCTTAAGTCCACTCCTTAAGACTGGTCTTAACAAAGACCGTCTTAGGAGTTACGACCAGGTGTAGTAAAGACCAGTTGGTGCAACCGGCCCTAGATGTTCAAAAGATGCAGTCTCAGTCATAAGTTTAGTCCATTCCGAAATTCTTGGCCTACTTGGGCTCTTCCAATTGCGCAAGATTAATCTTGCTGCCACGAGGGAGCCTGCTAGTATCAGTTCAAACTGTGCTTTAGTGACACCTTGTGGTGCTAGCTCTCTACTCCCAAGAAGGTAAAGCTCAGGAGATTCTGGCAAATGCTTCCCTACAAATTACCTCAAATTACCTCTTTCCAAAAAGGGAGAACAGAGGGACATTCCCACATAGCATGCCAGAAAGTACCCTCTGCCCTCTGACATTTCCAGCATTTTCGATCTTTTGATAGTCCCATTCTGTGGAGTTTAAGAGGAGTATAATAGTATCGATGCACAATTTTGTAATGGATAAATTTGCTTCTAACATCCCTTGTAGCCCTACCAACTTTGGATATTATATCCTGCCATATCTTCTCTCCAATATCCCTTCCCAGGTCCCTTTGCCAGATCAGCCTAAGGTTCTCACAGCTCACACTCTGAATGTCAATGATATGTTGATAGAATATTGAAGCACTGTGCATTTGTTCCTCCAAACCCTGATTACACTTCAACATACTCCTTATACTGCTTCGTAGTTGAAAATATTTAAAAGATCTCCTTTCCCATCCAGCCCAAATTCATCAATCAGTTCCTGATATATCTTGAATGTTGTATCCTTATATAGATCACTTATGGTGCATATGTTGTTCATTTGCCAATTATCCCAAAAAACTGGTCGTTTCCCTATGTGGACTTGTGGGTTATTCCACACAGAAGAATAGGCCTGTTTATATTGAGATCTACCAAGTATTCTATGTGTTTTAGCCCATACCCAATTGGAATGAGTCAAGATGGGATTTTGATTCCCACCTGTCTGCCTCTTTTGTGAAAGCGCTTGTATAGGTGTAAACGGGGCCATTAGCGATTGCTCAATTTGTACCCACCCAACCTCTGAATCACACCCTACCCAGTGCCTAGCTAATTTGGCCAACTCAAAAGCCAATTTATATGTCTCCACATTTGGCAGAGCTAATCCCCCCCTCTCCCTGAGGGAGTACATTTTCCCGATGTTAATCCTAGGCCTTTTTCCATTCCATAAAAAAATCTTTTACTATTTGATTATATTGTTTAAACATCCTGTCTGGTATTATTAGTGGCAGCATCATTGAAATATAGTTCAATTGTGGAGCAGTTGTAATTTTTATAGTATTTATTTTCCCCCAAAGAGAGAGGTTTATCACTTTCCACTTATCCAAGTTATTCCTAATCTTATGAAGAACTGTTGCCATATTCAATTCGAGGATACACTCAAGGTCTGCACTTAAACTTACACCTAGGTAGTTCATGCCTTCTGGGATCCATTTAAATTAAAAAAGAGGAAACTGCTGATGATAGGCATGTTCTAGATACAGTTATCGGCTCTGATTTATGCCAGTTAATTTTGTACCCAGAGATCTCTGAAAACTCCTCAATCTTATCTAAAACCAGTGGAATCCAATTAACAGGATCAGAAACCAGGAGCAAGATATCGTCTGTGTACAAAAACAATTTGTTTTCACAACTACCGCCCCATACACTTTTAATACCCGTTTCCGCTCTTATGCCAGTGGCTCTAAAAACAAAATGAAGAGCAGTGGGCTCAGGGGGGTCTCCTTGTTTCGATCCCCTTGTTAAATTAAAGAAGGGAGACGTTAGGCCATTAGTTAAGACAGAGGGTTTTGGGGTTGAATAAATCACATTCAACCATTTTATGAATCCATCACCAAAACCAAAACTTTTCAATGCATGCACCATGAAGCCCCACTCCATCCTATCAAACGCCTTCTCCGCATCAAGGGAGAAGGCAGTTACAGGTGTATCGTTTTCATGACTGGACCAAAAAAGGTGCAACAAGCATCTAATATTATCGGATGATGATCGCCCCCTAACAAAGCCGACCTGATCTGTATGTATCAAATGTGCCATCACCTTTTCCAGCCTTGTTGCCAGGACTTTTGTTAGTATCTTACCATCAACATTTATCAAACTTATCGGACGGAAGCTACCTGGATCTGTGGGATCTTTATTTTTTTTAATAATTAATGAAATTAAAGCCTCATTAAAAGTGTCTGGCAATTTTCCTGATAAAAATGCTTCTGTGTATACATCAGTCAGTATGGGTGCTAGTATATTAATATATTTTTTATAATATTCTACAGGAAACCCGTCCAATCCCGGTGATTTCCCTACTTTTTATGCCAATATTGCAGCCCTAACTTCCTGTTCTGTAATTGCTTCATTTAGTCGTTTTTCCTGACCTTCAGACAATTTAGGGAGATAAGTCTTTGAAAAAAACTCATTGATTTTGACTGGTGATGGATTCATTTCTGATGAGTAAAGCCCAACATAGAAATCATGGAATACTTTGTTTATTTCTTAAGTAGTGGTTACTATCTTGCCGTTTTTATTTTGTACCGCTGATATTACAGAATTAGCTTCTTTTTGCTGTAATTGTCTAGCCAGAAGTTTACCAGCTTTCTCCCTGCTTTCGTAAAAATTACTATTCAGCCTAAACAATGCATATTCAACTTTTTTGTTATATAAATCATTTAATTGAAATTTCAGTTCACAAACCTCCTTTAGGAGAGTTTCAGTGTGATTTCCCACCAATTCCTTTTCCTTTTCTTTAAGGTGGGCTTCCAATTTCAAAAGTTTCTCCCTATGTTCCCTTTTCTTTTTGCTGGAGCATGCTATTATTTTCCCTCTAATATAGGCTTTAGAGGCCTCCCACACTGTGCCCACCTTCTCTACCGACCCAGTATTTATTTCAAAAAAACTCTTAAGATCATCTTCTATTGAATTGGCACATACTTGATCCTGTAATAGGGATACATTTAATCTCCACCTGCTTTTCTTCACTTCATCTGTCCCAATCGTCATACATAGATGCACAGCCACATGGTCCGATATTGCAATAGGACCAATTGTACATTCAGTTACACAATCAGTAAGAGCTTAAAAAATAATCGATTCTTGAATATGACTTGTGATTATGTGAGTAAAAAGTAAATTCCTTTCCCCTGGGATTAGTCAGCCTCCAGCTATCGACAAGGCCCAAATCTTTCATCATCAAATGTATGGCTTTCCTGTCTCTAGGCACATGAGTAGAATGTGTAGTTTTATCCAAAATCCCACCTTGTACCTGATTGTAATCACCCGCAGTTACACAAAGGCCTCCTTCTATTTCCCCCAGCATTTTATTTACCCTGTGGTAAAACTCTGATTCTTCCTTATTAGGAGCGTAAATATTACACAGATTGATCTTAACCCCATTTATCATATTATTCTACCTTCATCATCTTTATGTTGTTTTAGCAAGACAAAATTCAATTTTTTACGCACCAGTATCGCAACCCCTGATTTTTTGCTAGAGTAGGAGCTAGAAAAGATTTGGCCCACCCAATCTCTTTTGAATTTAATTATTTCAGAGTCAACCAAATGAGTCTCCTGAATAAAAGCAATATCAGCTTGCTGGGATTTGAGATATGTTAAACATTTTCTCTTCTTTACAGGGTTCTGAGATCCATTTATGTTCCAGCTGATAAACCTTACAAAATTAACTATTATCAAATGCTCTTAGTACTTTAGGATTTGAGAAAACCAAATACAGGATAAACATAGGTACAAATGTCCACATTATACTTGAGTGCTGTCTGACTGTCAAACAAAAAAATAAGAAAGGAAAACACATTACTTGTGCTGAGCTCCCTGCACAACCTTTAATTTCCATCTAAATTTAAAACAAAAACAAAACAAAAATGTGAGTCGCAGAGGAAATTGGCCAGCCCATAAAAACCCCCCAAACCCCACTTCTTGCTTATCTCATTGCCAATTTAACTTATTCACACCTGAAATATGGCTCTACTTTATCTATAAAGTAAAAAATATATATATATATATAATTGGCAACTATCTGAAGAGCATTATTCCAGCCAGTATTAATAACAACAGAGCCCGACCAGTCATATAGATCAACTTAAATAATTAACCAACATTATCTGGTGTGATAAAGTCACAGTAAACTGTCATATGAATCAAAACTTGCCAAAAACTAAATCGTCCATGCCCTTTGTGGGTTAACCACACAAAGAAAAACAATTGGAAAAGTAGAGAGGGAAAAGTGTCAGGAGTTACCATAGCTTCATTCTGGTGTTTTTAACAGGATATCAGTCCCGTTGCGCAGATTGTTTGTCAATTTTTTCTAAAATTCTAGCATGCTTGTATTATCGGTTTCCGTGGAACTCGTGGTGTCGGTGCCGGTAGTATTAATCTTCTAAAGAAACTCCATTGCTTTACTGTGATCGTTGAACTTCATCCGTTCACCTCTCCAGGTGCAGCGCAGCTCCGCTGGGTACGCCAGAGTGAAACGCACATCCAGAGCGTGCAACTTCATCCTCGCCTCCGTGAACAGCTTTCTTTTCTCCGCCAGTTCCTTTGTCATGTCCGGGAAGAAAGACAGTCTGCAGCCTCCCCACCACACCTTTTCTCCCTTTCTGTATTTTTCCCTCGATGCTGCTAATACTCTTTCCCATTCCAAGTAACTCAGAAAGCGGATTATGATAGGCCTGGGTGGTTTATCATCTCTGGGTATTTCTGCAGCAGTAGGATGTACCCGCTGTAGTTGTGATGGATCCACCTGTAGCCAATATCCAGCGCCTCGAAGATGATCTTCCACATACAATCCGTTGGGTTGCGGCCCTCTATTCTCTCCTTCAGGCCGATCAACCTCAAGTTCTGCCGTCTATCACGGTTGGTAACATCCTCAACAGCCGCTTTGAGCTCCTTACGTGCTTTAGCGTTGTGCTGGGCTGTCACGCGGAGGTCAGCGTTGTCGTCCTCTAGCTCTGAGATCCGGCTTTTGGCTTCCTCAAGTCTCTTAATAACGTTGTCCACGTCTGTTCAGAGCTCGGCGTTGTTAACCTTTATCTGATTTATATCCATCTGTAGAACCTGCAGCAGTTTGCTGACCCGGCCCATTTCTTCCATAGCATTACCCAATGCCGTTTGCATAGCAGATAAAACGCCAGCTTTGTTTTTACCACTAGTGTCCGACTCGCCCTCCATCGTGTCAGTAGCGTTAGCTTGTAGCGTTTCCTTCTTGGCCTTTCGCTTCGTCATATATTGCTTCCCACTCATAAAAGTTACTGAATGTAGGATCAAATATGGTTCACATAAGCCGTCCACAACCCCCTGTCACAGCTGTGGCAATGATACCGGTCTTAAACTTAGAGAATTTCGAGATAGTTCGGGGTAGTTTACCGGGAGCTCCTGTCTAGGCGGCCATGCGCTTGACGATCACACCGAACCCGCGAATGATCATTTCTCATTAGGAAAAATAGAATTATTTTTCTGCATTACACTTTGAAGTTGTTGTTGAAATAATACTGACAATATAATAATAATACTAATTCGAAATACTTTAAACTTCTAAGACATGTAAGGACCCAACCCACTTAACACAGGTTTCTGATTGTGTGCACTCAGGTTTATGACATTAAGCTGCGATGAACAATCTAACCTGCATTGTTGATGAGGATGTCCAGTCTGGGTTCAGATTTCAGGAAGTTTTCGGCAAAGCTGCGGACAGACTTGAGACTCCCCAAATCCAACTGCATCAACACCACCTGATTACTCCCACTCTCCTTTGGGAGATATTGAGGGGCATTTCCAGCACATGAGAAAATAAATATAAAACAAACAGACACCGAAATTTTAGGATTTGCTTGTTTAATATTGATGTCAGCTTGCTGTGTGGCAACATGGCTAATGACAGCATCCTCACAGAATCATTAGAAGCAACTATAAGCTTCTGTGTGGGTAAGCTCATCAGCAAGGCATCTCAGACAGAGAACCTTCTTTTGGAAGAAGTAAAAGAACATGGTAGAGCTTTACTCACCCTCTTGATGTCCTCAAGAGCAGCCTCTCCCCTCTGCTTACTCCGACAGGCCAGGATAACTCTAGCTCCTCTTTTTGCCAGATCTATGGCTGTAGTCTTCCCAATGCCTGTATTGCTGCCTGCAGATGAAAAGTGAAAAACATGGATGAAACATGTTTTATTTACAAGTCCAACATACAGTATATGAAATATACAGAATATACATTAATATATATATATATATATATATATATACACATACATATATACATACACACACACACATATATGTGTGTATATATATATAAACCTGGTGCAAGAATGACAGTCATTTTTTTCCGTGACAGAAGTTATGGTTACTTCTTTGTTACTATAGATGTTACTATAGCTTCACTTATCCATAGCTCATGACCATAGGTGAGGGTTGGAATGTAGATGGGCCAGTAAATTGAAAGCTTTGCCTTCTGGCTCAGCTCGCTCTTCACCACGACAGTCCGCGGAGTGCCTGCATCACTGCAGATGACAAACCGCTGATCCATCTCACGCTCCATTCTACCCTCACTGGTGAACAAGACCCTGAAATGTCTGTAATCTGTAATGAAGATTTAATGTGCATATAGTTATAAAACAGGGGTGAAACTAAAGGAATATATGTTACAAAATGACTGACATGTCTTCCACATAAAGGTTAATGTATAACAAAGCAGAGTGAGTGCCATGAAGATGTTTATCTTTATTTTCATAGATTTCACAAAATTTTCCCATTTATGATTAAATCAAATGTAGCAACATTAAAGGAAACTGTGGTGGCCAAAGCCACACGAAGTAAAAGCAGAAGTGTTACCGTGCTGGTGAGAGGTTTCTTCCTGGGAAGACAAAAGGCTTGGCCAAGGGCTGGCAGCTCCTAAATACTGTGCCCACCTCATCAGATCATACCATCTAGTGTTTGTATTGATTTTGGCATTTTTGGGTAAGTAAAACCTTATTTTTCCAACCAAATCTCATTGCCTCACTGCTTGGTCCCTGACAATTGGTGGCAGTGGTGGGATCATCCAGTGGAGGGAACAGGATTTTTTTCTCTCTTTCTTGCCCTCCTCTTTAGTTTTTTGGATTTTTTTTTAATTTTTCTTTTTACCTATTTGACCAAAACCATCCAGCAGATTTGTGAAATGATCATATTAGAGCAATACCTGACAATGTTGCCCCCTGAGCTTCGGGTTTGGACCTGAGAGCATGACCCAAATCAGCAATGGAGGCTGCTAAGCTGGCTAATGTCTCCAACCAGCCTAACCATGGAGCTACAAGCTACAACACATGGAGAACAACCTCAAAGCAGCCCAACAGTACCAACACGGGCCAGCAACCAGTGCGGGTAAGCCTTCCATGGGGGAGAACCAGCCAGCTAGCAGACCATTGAAACATTCTTGTAAAAATCAGTCTGTTATCTCTGGAGTAGAAGGCCACACAAAGCCCATGTGCCCTAAAACTCAGCCAAGATGACACAAATGTGCTTTGTGGACTGATGGAATGCTTCAACCAGACCCTAAAGCAGCTGCTTTGGAAGTTTATCAACAACAGTGGCACGGACTGGGATCTGTGGCTGCCATACCCTTTTTCGTAGGGAAGTACCCCAAGCCTCCACTGGCTTCTCTCCATTTGAACTTTTGTACGGGCATGAAGTACGAGGACCTCTTTAACTACTGAGAGAGATTTGGGAGGGAGGCAAGGGGGAGGGGGGACTCTGTTGATATTATATCCTGTGTTGTTCAGATGAGAGAGCAATTGGAGAAAACGAGTCAGCTTGCCCAATCACACATGGTGGAGGCCCAGCAGCAGCAGAAATCCTGGTATGATCAGTCAGCCCAGCAAAGGTTGTTCATCCCTGGACAGTGCTCCTCCCTAGTGATGACAGCAAGCTTCTGATAAAGTGGCAAGGGCCATTTGAATTCCTGAAGAAACTTGGGCTCACCACATTCCAAGTATCAACCCCAGGGCAGCCATGGTCGAGTAGAGTGCTGCATATAAATCTAGGGAAGGAGTGGGTGCAGCGACCTGAGAGGAAGGACTTGATGGTAATCAGAGGTGTGCTAGAGGAGGAGGAAGTAGATGAGCAATACTTGCCTCTGGTTGGTGCTCCAGTGGACCAAGACCTCAGCCACCTCTCGGAAGATAAGCAAGTCCAGGTGAGAGAAATCTATAACTCAGAAGTATTCCAGGACAATCCTGGGAGGACAAATACTGGTGAACATGACATTGTTAAAGAAGGTTCTGCTGTGAGACGGCTGAGTTACAGGATTCCTGAACGCCTGCTATCCTCGATGAAAAAGGAGATTGACCTGCTGCTGTCCCTGGGGATTTTTCAGACTTCAAAAAGCGAGGGGTGTAACCCAGTGGTCCTGGTGCCAAAGAAGGATGGCAGCATAAGATTCTGCATTGACTTCAGGTGCCTGAATTCAATTTCTCAGTTTGATTCCTATCCCACACCAAGAATTGATGACTGCTTGAACGACAAGGAAAAGCAAAACACTTGACCACAATAGATCTCTGTAAGGGTTACTGGCAGGTTCCACTCACTGAGCGATCCAGGAAGCTTACAACTCTCAGGACGCTATGGGGTCTCTTCCAGTTCATGGTCCTGCCATTTGGTCTGCATGGGGCTCCAGCAACCTTCCAGAGGCTCATGGACCAGGTACTGTGTGATGTCACCGACTTTGCTGCAGCATATCTGGATGACATTGTCATTTACAGTACGACCTGTGAGGAGCACTTGAAACATCTGCATGCTGTCTTGGATCATCTCCACGCTGCCGGGCCATCTGTCAACCCTTCAAAGTGTGTCTTTGCTGCCATAGAGACAGAATACCTTATATTGCCAGATTCCAGAGAGTCTCCCCTCTTCATATATGGCAGAAAATGTCATTTTCCAACTTGCTATGGTGAGATACATGTAAAAATGTAAGAATTTAGTAACACAGATTTGTTTTTTTCATTGATATAAAAATTAATATAAAATACAGGCACACAGAAGGACATGGAATGATGGCAAATCTGGATAGCCTGGATAGCATGTGTATGTAGCCTTTATAATGACTGTGATATGAGCTTAAAAGTAAAGGCAGTAAAAATACCAAAAAACACCTAAGGCCCATAGGGTTAACTGACAACAAGCAAAAATTTGATGCTGCATTCAGTAAAAAAAATGTGTTTTGCTTGACTATATTTTGTATCAAGTTTTTATTTCATTCAAGACCTGGAATGCATCCCACGTCTATTAATGTATATACAAATAGTGCTACTATGTGACAGGTGTCAAAAGTTATCCTGAAAAATGTAAAGATTAAGACAACCTGCAGGATGGCAAGAGCAGAATTTGAACTCTTGCGACTCACAAGTCATCCACCTTACCACTCAACTACTGAACCAAGCACCTACTCACTGTGTTTCTATAGCCATCAAAAATTCCCAGGGATATGCCAGTGGGTTTTGACAGGATGAACTCTGATTGAATGACGTTCTTTAACTTTAAGAACAAGATAAAGCATGTAAACTTTTAAACCACAACAGAAACAGGAGGATGCACACAACTTGTGTCATTCACCCAGGCGCAGGTAGTTTTCTAAAGACCTCCTCAACCCCGCTGCACAATTAAGTAGGATAGGATAAGTCGGAAACAGAGGGCAGAGAAGGAGGTCACTCAACTTAAAATATTCACTATAATTTAATTAATAGGGATACAATCCAAAAAACATACATTGACCTTTGAGGAAGCATAGTACTTGCCCACCTAGGGGTTTGAACCTTTGTATCCATAGAGAAGGTGACATGCTAACTGTGCCACCAACAAGACTTGGCTTGTCATGCCTCTTCTGACAACTTCAGGCAATGATATCACATGTGCAAAACTGCTGCTGCTTTCAGGTGCATTGTCAAATATGTTGCTGACATTTGGTTAAAAATAAGATGAAATAGAAAATTTTGTGCTCACAGTACAATTTACAAGATATTGCATATCACTGCAGACTCACCATTAAACTGATCTGAGCAAAATTTGAAACATATGATATCTAGTATCCAAACAGTTTCAGTGTCCATTTTGGTTGCATTTGAATGAAGAGGATTGGAGATAAATATGTTGATTAATTTAGCATATTCTAAAAAATATTGATTGACTTCTGAATTTACTATAGGTTGCAGTGAAGCAAGGTTTTGTCACAATTCAGTGCTGAAAAAATGAGCTCTGTAGGATGTACTGGTGATTTATTATGATTTCTTTGAAGGACGGTTAAATCATTCCACAGCCAGAAACCATGGCTTAACAGACACGGACAATTATACAGCAACAGCAACAGTAAGAAGACGCATAAAAAATTATAGTGCACAAGTTAAAGGAGTTGGTGGGGAGTGGGAGTTAGACTTTTTATAATTCCATGTGACAAATAAATGATTGATTGATTGACTGATTGATTGATTGATTGATTGATGTAGCCTAAGACTACTTTACTATCACTTGATAGCATCTAGCCTGAGGTTTTGTTCATTGCAAATGTGTCCTGCAATTTCCATGGCTATCACTGCAGCACACGACTGAAGCTGAGAAACAGTTGGCTCTGAGCAGAGGGCTAATTCTGCTCTTCCCCAAACAAACTCCATTTCAACTTTTCCATCTTTGTGTACAGCTCTGAGGTATGCCACTGCACCCATGGCCTTGGCACACAGTTCTGTGTGTTCTGCCTTGTGAGAGAGCTTGTTGTATAAGTGCATGGATTTTGCAACTGCATCCTGGTAGGATGGTAAAAGAGAGCCATGCTTAACCACAACAAAGTAAAATCAAATCCATTTCCAAATTCTCACACAAACCTCATGTATGCAGTCATATGCTCAGTCTTTCCAAAGTACATGCATTTTTTACTAAAATCTTACGATGTTTAACACTTCCGCGTACAAGTAAGGCACCTGGGAAAGCGTGTGAAGTCTGCAGGCACACTAATCATCCTTGCCTGAGACTGTTTATGCTTAAGTGTTTTGAATAGTAAGGTTTTAGCAAAAATACATGTGTTTGGGAAGTACTGACCAGATGACTGGATAAATGAGATTTGGATTATACTGCAGGAGTTGTTTCAGTTTGAAAATTGATGTTTTTATAAAATTTTGCTGTTGTGGCCCCCTATTTCTTCAGTTCATCAAGATTTTTTCCTGTTGTTGGAGTCTCTGTTTGTCAAAGTATTCTTCACCAATTCAACATAACACTGATATTAAAATGACCAGTTTCTGAGTTAATCATTCCATTAAAGCAGCACTTACCAATATCTGTTTTTATTAACAGTGACTCAAATGACATGTGCGTCTTGTGTGATGAAAAGAAGTCACCCATAATGATGGAGCCACAAAGAAGGAACCAAAATTCTTGGACACACAGTCTTAAAATGAAGACATGATTTATATCTCTACTTTCAAATTCTCTGTTTTATGTTCTTAGAGTCTTGTTTTCATTCAGAGTTGCAGTGCCTGCAACTGAAATTGGTAAGCTATAAAATGTGCTGTAAGAGCTGCTTCTTAATGCAAAATTTGTTGAGTGTAGTCCACACATCCAATTAATAGCCTATAGAAAAAAGTCACTGGATATGTCTTCTGCCCCTCATGGCACACAGTAATAAGAATCTTTACTTACCGGTCACAATCACAGTTTTCCCATCCAGCCTTGCTTTACTTGTGCACCGCTTTCCCTTAACCACAACATGGCGGTAAATGTAAGCAAACCCTACAACAACCGCCACAACCAGCAGAAGAGTAGACATTGCTAAAGCCCTGGTTGCTCACACCAGACTGGCTGCTCTGAGGACGTCTGAGCAAATTTGTGTATTCAGACACACATAAACAAACACTCATATCCTGCCTGGGCGTGACAGTGGACTCGCTGTTATCAGACAACACATATGTCTGCTGGGGCAAGTTTGGACAATGCATTTCAACTTTGTTCTCTATTTTAAAATAAGCTCAAAGTGAAATCAAACAATACAGTCCATATTTTGGTTAACAATCACGAACATCAGCAAATATGTTTGTAAAATAATGCTGTGTTAAATCAAAACAATGTCTTGCAAAAGGCTTATTCTCCTCTCCCTCCCATTCAGTAGCCTATCATCTAATAGGAAAGCAGCACCACCTGCTGTTGCCAACCTACATTTCCAGGCCTACAGATGCAGACATACATTAGAACTGCTCTTTGCTGCCTCATAATGTTATTCCATATAGAATTCTTTTATATACAGTACAGGCCAAAAGTTTGGACACACCTTCTCATTCACTGCGTTTTCTTTATTTTCATGACTATTTACATTGTAGATTCTCACTGAAGGCATCAAAACTATGAATGAACACATGTGGAGTTATGTACTTAACAAAAAAAGGTGAAATAACTGAAAACATGTTTTATATTCTAGTTTCTTCAAAATAGCCACCCTTTGCTCTGATTACTGCTTTGCACACTCTTGGCATTCTCTCGATGAGCTTCAAGAGGTAGTCACCTGAAATGGTTTCCACTTCACAGATGTGCCTTATCAGGGTTTATTAGTGGAATTTCTTGCTTTATCAATGGGGTTGGGACCATCAGTTGTGTTGTGTCAGGTTAATACACAGCCGACAGCCCTATTGGACAACTGTTAAAATTCATATTATGGCAAGAACCAATCAGCTAACTAAAGAAAAACCAGTGGCCATCATTACTTTAAGAAATGAAGGTCAGTCAGTCCGGAAAATTGCAAAAACTTTAAATGCGTCCCCAAGTGGAGTCGCAAAAACCATCAAGCGCTACAACGAAACTGGCACACATGAGGACCGACCCAGGAAAGGAAGACCAAGAGTCACCTCTGCTTCTGAGGATAAGTTCATCCGAGTCACCAGCCTCAGAAATCGCAAGTTAACAGCAGCTCAGATCAGAGACCAGATGAATGCCACACAGAGTTCTAGCAGCAGACCCATCTCTAGAACAACTGTTAAGAGGAGACTGCTCCAATCAGGCCTTCATGGTCAAATAGCTGCTAGGAAACCACTGCTAAGGAGAGGCAACAAGCAGAAGAGATTTGTTTGGGCCAAGAAACACAAGGAATGGACATTAGACCAGTGGAAATCTGTGCTTTGGTCTGATGAGTCCAAATTTGAGATCTTTGGTTCCAACCGCCGTGACTTTGTGAGACGCAGAAAAGGTGAACGAATGGATTCCACATGCCTGCTTCCCACTGTGAAGCATGGAGGAGGAGGTGTGATGGTGTGGGGGTGTTTTGCTGGTGACACTGTTGGGGATTTATTCAAAATTGAAGGCACACTGAACCAGCATGGCTACCACAGCATCCTGCAGTGACATGCCATCCCATCCGGTTTGCGTTTAGTTGGACGATCATTTATTTTTCAACAGGACAATGACCCCAAACACACCTCCAGGCTGTGTAAGGGCTATTTGACCAAGAAGGAGAGTGATGGAGTGCTGCAGCAGATGACCTGGCCTCCACAGTCACCGGACCTGAACCCAATCGAGATGGTTTGGGGTGAGCTGGACTGCAGAGTGAAGGCAAAGGGGCCAACAAGTGCTAAACACCTCTGGGAACTCCTTCAAGACTGTTGGAAAAGCATTTCAGGTGACTACCTCTTGAAGCTCATCGAGAGAATGCCAAGAGTGTGCAAAGCAGTAATCAGAGCAAAGGGTGGCTATTTTGAAGAAACTAGAATATAAAACATGTTTTCAGTTATTTCACCTTTTTTTGTTAAGTACATAACTCCACATGTGTTCATTCATAGTTTTGATGCCTTCAGTGAGAATCTACAATGTAAATAGTCATGAAAATAAAGAAAAGGCATTGAATGAGAAGGTGTGTCCAAACTTTTGGCCTGTACTGTATGTGACTGTAGGAACTTTCAAATTATTCTGATGGAATGCATGCAGTTAAATGTTGGTTAACAATACTTAGAGTTACACCAATCAATATTTTGATTTGGGATCAAATGACAATGGGTAATGTGACAGGTGTCACAGAGCCACAGAGAATTGTCACCAACTCTCACCACTCTCATCGACCTGGTTCCCAGTCACAGTAGGCAGCAGTTTTCATTGAAAAAGTAAACAGCAGACAGGCACAGTTAGAGACAAGCTGGTGAACATAGTGGGGCATTTAGCAGCTAAAGAGAAAGATATTTATTTCTTAGGATTTACAAAAGGAGAACGAATATTGGACTTAAATTGATCACATAGTCTACACGACTGCAAATGAATGCTAATGCTGTTCCGTGTTAGCAACCTCTTAGTGATGGTAAGATATTGGCTACTTGGTAATTGATGACACCATCTTTCTATTATTATTAGTTCAATGTGAGGTAACTAACTGACCTATTGCTAAGTCCCGCCCTCAAACGCGATGAACCAATCACTGTGTGTATAGCCATTCCCATACACTCGGACATTCTCTGTCTGGACGTCCATTCAAAGGGAACTGCCCATTGGTTCGACAGCCCATTGGTTCGACATCCCATTGTTCCGACCATATTAAACCCATTGTTCCTAAATCTGTTCCGAAATCATCATGATGCCCTGTGGTTAAGGTCTGGTTAGGTTTAGGCACAAAAACCACTTGGTTAGGGTCAGGAAAAGATCATGGTGTGGGTTAAAATGAAAAAGAAATTGACAAACACATAAGCCGTGAGCCTGCTCCGCCTCAAGCCAGTCGCGGCGCACCATATGCCCACCGCGAGCCGTTCAGCACCGCAGACAGAAATGGGATGTCGAATCAATGGGCTGTCGAACCAATGACATGGACCCCATTCAAATGCATTACAGAAAGTCAGTTTTGTTCGGTTTTATGAGCTTTTTCAGAGATTTGAAGTTTAAAAATGGTCAAACGGTGTGCATGGGGTACATGCAACTCCAACACAAGGTATCCTGAGAGGCTGGGCGACGAGGTGTATTTTTTACACTTTAAACCACATCTCAACCGAGAAAAGTGTCTCCTTTGGATAAAGTTGTGCAGTAACGTTAGACCACAACATCAACTCAACGTGAATAAGATTAACAAGGATGTCTACATCTGTTTTAAGGTAAGTCAACATCATGTTTGAGGCGACATATTGTCACTTTGCTAAAGTTATCGTTAACATCTCTAGCTAACGTTAGCTAAAGTTAGCCTAACGTTAGCCTAACGTTAGCTCCTAGCTGTGTTGTTCATCATGTCACCTTGTTTGCTGGGAGTTCATTAGCCTATTTTGTTCTTGTTCTGTACTTTGGTGATCGTACATCATTGTTAGCTGTTGTCCAAAGGGCTCTAGTTAAGCTAACGTTAACTTCTGGAGCTTAGCTTCATTAATTTATCTGTAATAATCACAGAGATAACAAAGGTTGGCAAATGTTATGCTGAATGATTCAGTGTAAATACTGTAGCACCAAACTAACGGAGACACACTCTTGGTGAAGATGGTAAAAAGGCTGTTATCCTTTTCTCATATTCTGAGCCAAAAACCTTAACTTCAGTGGCACTTTAACTTGTTGTCTTTGATGGCGACGGCAACGAGATGTGGTTCACAAGCGTACACTGTGACCTGTAAATTTTGGCTTGTAATTTAAGCTTTTCATCGAGCTTCTCAACAATAAAATGATGAATGTATCCCTCCACTGTGTAGTTTAGGCCTTTTGGTTACTTCTCAATGACATCTGATCGTTATCCCCAAAAATCATCAGTTGCCTCCTGTGAAATGCCGTGTACTGTGACACCTGCCATAGCGCCTGGTCACTGAATGTTGATAGTTTGTCCAAGTGAGTGGAGGGGGGCATGGCTTGGCCATAGGTCAATTGTCTTTTTAATTTACAGGATAATGTATGTCAAAGTGTAAAGAGTTCAGTTTGGAACTAGCTACCAGGTACTTGTTGTTGCAACATTTTAGGCAGGCCCATGGGCCATCTCCGGGGTAGTTATCGATATCCATGTCCATACATAGATTGTCCATTTACATTTAATACATGGAGTAAGCTATTAAATCACATTTATAAAAATCATGCTAATCCTCATTCTCCAAAGGAAGCAGAAGCATCTATATTCCAATGTCATGTGTGTTCATGTAGAGAACTAGCAACAGAGATTTTTTTCAGCACATAAATGGACATCTCAGGCATTATGAAATAGTTCCACGTGTGTTTCAAGGATGTACATTTCACACAAATGTTTATAGTACATTCAACACACACAAAAACAGGAAACACAACCAGCATTCACTGAAAGACTGTAAAGTTCATGTCCTCAGTACAAGCACTGAGTTAGATCAGTCAGACAATTCAGTAGATGTGCCAACAGAGTCCTTGGATATAAATCATGACAATGTAACTTTAAGTTCAGTTGAGGCTGCAGATTTACACCTGCCAAATATTACTGAAGAGAAAATTGCTTGCATTCTCTTGATGTTGGAAAATATTATTCACATTCCAAAGACCATTATTGATGAGATCTTTTGTGAAATTCACTTCATATTAAGTACAGCAACCTTACCTGTCACAAAAGCTAATGTTTTTGATGTATTCAAGAGTCATAGACTACAAGTTGATGAGTCAATAGCTGATGAGCTTGCCACTGTTTTATGCAAATCTAATCCGTTGGTTATTGTAATTGCAAAAGATGGCCCTCTAGCTACTGCATAAAATGTACACAGTACTACACCTCTCATTTTGATATCATACAGCCAGTTGAGTACATACTAGATGCTCAAAGAAATTGGACATTTCAATACATCCTTCTTTTACAATCTTTAAAACAGTCATACAGATGTGCTTGAACATATTGAAATTCAGAAAAAAGAA